TTGCCTCCCCCTTTCTCCTCCCCCTCATTCTGGCGGTATTGGGCACTAGTGCTGCAAAAGTCCCGGCCTAAAGCTAGAACCACAGCCTAAAGTAACTCTAAGTAGCAGTGTGTTACAACTCTATCCCTAGTTTTTGCGTAGCACCCTCTGCACTCCTCCCCTCCTGGCGTCCATCCTGAATCCGCTCTAATCCTCCAGGAAGATCGAGAGGCTCAATTGTGACTTCAGCGCCGTGTCTGATTTTGGTCTCCTAAACTGCATGTTGCAAATTACGTGCAGATTGCGCACTGATTGTACTTATCTTGTTGTTTCAGTCGTTTTTCAATGTTTGCAGGACACGTTCCCGAATGTGCGCGGAATTGTGGATATTTGTGAAGTGGCAATGAAATGCTTCCGGATAATAATTACCAGGGATCAAGTGGTGAACAGGCATGTGCTGAAGATCGCGAAGTAGGCACAGTCATGTCCACTGTCGTTACCACAGGTGGATCCAGGACGTCCTTTGGGAATGTGAAGGGGTGGGAGGGGGGGTGGGGAGGAGAGTCCCCTCCTTTCCTGGAAACATGCAGAATTTAGGAATTGGGTTGTAACACACTACTACTTAGAGTTACTTCAGACTTTAGTTTTAGCTTTAGACCGGGGTTTCTGCAGCACTGGTGCCCGTGCCGAAAGACCCTTGGTCCCCCCGCCCCCTGCATCCGCCCATGGTCGTTCCACTGTGTCCACCAGGCAAAGTTTCTTTGCGAAATCTCATGTAAGATCTCATCCAGCATTATACCGAGCTAAGCCGTATTGCAGTTGTATAATTTTCTGGAACAGATAAGCTCATCGCTGAGCTCACAGATCAGCAGTGCCACCGATGTGGTCCGGAAGAATGCCCTGGAAATAGCGAATCAGTGTGTACGGGTATCTAGTCTGAACAATCGACTTTCATCGTTCGCTGCGGACCAGTTCATCGAAAGCGTTAGTTTTGCTGCCTGATCAGCGATTTTTCTTGAAATTTTCTTGCTCCGCTATGGCAGATTTGTTAGGCATCCAGTTTCATTTTGCTGTATTGGATACTTCTTTGGCGCGTTTCGCGTAAAAGAATTGCGTGCCTCGGGGTCATTTCCCGTTCATTTTTTTTCTTTCAAGCAATTTTAAAACGAGAGTCATCGATAAAGGGGGTCAAGTTTTTTGCTGATGATGATGAGCTGCTATCGGCTGCGCTTTCGCCTTCCACTGAGTGGGTAATCTGGG